GCCGTGAGATGACGTGTTGTGAATTGGTGCTATAGAAATAAACTGAATAGAATTGAAATGGGGGGTGGTGTAACGTCTCTTAAAGTGACCTTGCAGGTCCAGCTAGCCCTGACCACGTGGCGTCTCTGCTGCTCTCACCTCGTCTGGTTTCCTGGCCGTTCAGTCCAACAACCAGCAGAATATCAGACTCTTTGGAAACCTGTTACCGTTTCCATTACTGAACACCATTCATTGCTTCTCCTGGGTTTTGATGTTTTGTGTTTTTCTGGTGTTTGTTTCCAACCCTGCAGTGATTTTTTTTAAAGATGTTTTTCCACCTGTTCATGAGCAGTTCAGTGATGCAGCTGATTAGCAGTGAATGTTTGCTGTTTTCTAGCTTCCTGGAGGAATCTTGAGATCCATGGAAGTCTGAGGGACATCAGGTTCTTTGTAGAGTTGCGTGTTTTGGTGCGTTCTGTTTTGTTTTCTTCTTGTTTGCTGAAGCTGTGACGGATGTCCTGTTTACACACATACACACAGTGACGTTAGGGAAGGACAACCTTTAGACACAGAGACCGTCCTGACCTCTGACATCACTGATCTGGTTTCATAATGGCTTCCGGACCGGAGCTCGACCTTCAGGGGCTAAACTCATTACATTAAGCCATAACCTTCCCACACAGCGAGGGCCGAGTCTGCCCTGATGGTTCATCTAGTTGTCCAGTGGAGCATTAGGAAATTGTTAAAGTTTGCAGCTTAAACTCATCATCCGCTTTGGATCATTCGCCAAATACCTTCCTGATTTTACATGAGAAAATAGTTTATTGGTTTCATTTCTGGAGCTATAGAAGGAAAAGAGAGTAGTTCTAATAACTGGATCTAACAGGGCTGCTGCTCTGGCTTTAAGTGACTAAATATTTACAAATGGTTTTCTATAAAGCCCATTTTAGCGGTAAGGCAGTTCAAAATGCTTTACATCATAAAAACATCAGAACAAATGTGCAGAAAATCATCAAAACATGAGAATCATCACACAGATCCTAAAACTAATCCACCATGAATGATAACAATCACTGATTCTCCATCAGTGAGGCCGGGCGGGTCTGCTAACGAATCAGAAACATCATTAATTAATCGGTAAATGCTTTTTAGGACTAAATGTCCATCTGGAAAAACCTTCATGAATTCATTTTAATTGAAACAGAATGCATTAAAATTTATTCACAAACTTCTCCCATATCTAAACATAGACGGAGCTTTTAAAGCTAAAAACAGAGAAATATTTGCTCATTGCCTCATAAACACATAATGTATAAATAGTGCCAGCATCATGATGAAATACTGAATGTTTATTTGAAGAACGTGTAATATTCTGGTCAGAATGGGAAAATCTGCTTTTAAGAAAGAAAGAACATTGAATGTTATTCTCAGTCTTCCTAATAAAGTAGTTACTGATTGGTCCTCTGCACCAACAGCTTATATAGAAATATAAGAAACAACAAATGGATCAAACAGGGAAGATCAAACTCTTCCTCTCCAGAACGGTGCTTTTGGTCAGAGTGCATTTTCATTAAAAGCTGCGAAGGATTGGAAATTTATCAATCACAACATCTGTCAATCAATTCTAAAAGACAACTAGAAGAGAATAGAATAGTTTCCTGGACAGGGCTGCCTTTTACAGTTGCCGTTTGTATCTATGCTTCTTTTTCTATGTCTGCTTCTGTCTCCTTGAACCCCAGT